GTTCTTAAATTATGATTTCATAAAATTAGCTTTTTCTTGGTTACATTAAATTTTACCAATTTAAAGCTTATTATAATGCAATTTATAATTGCTCACATCTTGAAAAGATAAAAGAATTTTCAATTGCTTTGATCTTGAAACGACAAAAGAATTTTGAATTTATTTTAGTGTGGAAGATTGGCGTGATAATAGCTACTGTGCACGTCTAGCAAGTTGGCAAGTGAACAAGTAGGGTTTGCATTGCTTTTGAATGCCAACTTACCAGGCGCACACACATATTTAACTTGTATAACTTATATGTTGTATACATGTTAAACAAGTTAAAGTTTAACCAAAATTGAGTAAAAATACTTCCATAATTTTTCTACGTATACTAAGTGTCACTTCACACTTTAGAAAAATATTTTGCATTTTAAATATTACAAAAAAATATCCTTGGAATTATCATGTCAAGAATGAGTTGATACGATTAGTTTTTCGTTAATAAAATTTTAAAGCATACGAACGTTAAATATAATTTTTTTTAAAGAACGAATCATATACTTCTTAACACAATAATAAATTTAGTTTATCATTTCATAAAAAAAATATTTACATAAAAAAATACCGTTTATGAACTATTCAAATAAAAAAAAGTTGTCCGCAGTATTCTAATGGTAATATTGCGAAATGTAACAAATATATCTACTGCATTTACGTTTTATGCAGTGATATAGTTTTTTTATACAAAATAGAGGATAACAAGGCGAATTCGTATATCAATACGATGTTATACTTGATTATAATATGCTGACCTTCGGATGAACCTTAATGAAGTGATTATCATAAAACAGTAATTCAACGTGTACAGGTGTACATAACGAGGTTAAATTAGAATGAATATTTAGTATTTGTGTATCTATTACAAAATCTGTCGAAAAATAGAGGTCGTTGACATTTAAGTAACATGCAAAGTTTGAATATTGTTGAACCTTTAACTGGTATGGTGGTGATTTGTTCATATTGAATCTATGATGTATCATTGAAGTGTCAGTAAATTTACAAGTATTATAAATAATACTATATACTATATAACTATTATAAATTTTATTATTTCCTGTTGAAATTAATTATGTTATATTTTTGTAAAAAAATGAAAAATTGGTGAGAATTGGTCAGCCTCACTATATAAATTACAGATTAAATCTACAGTCTACATCCATTTTGTATTAAAACAAATTGATGAAATGTTCCTATAGATATTTATATTAAACTTCAAACAAACCATTGATGTAGCATAATATTTTATAATACTTTTATGACATTAAATCGTGTCAGATTTTACTGTAATTCAAAATCTGTTGTTTGATATGCAACTTAATACAATAAAATTTCGATATTTTCCTGCTGGGTAAATTCCAGGTTGGCTGATGTGTATTACTTATACGTTTATATATCTGTAATTAAGCATCGCAAAATGGAGATTTCTTCAAACAGAAAGGAGTGAATGAAATTCCATTGGCCTTTCGTAATTTGCTCCACCCCTAGAGCCCCTGTCGCAGGGAAATATCGAGATTCTAGTGTACAAGCAGCGTCCTTTAGGACAGTTTACAAATCGAGTTCCTTACATCGATCAATTAAATGTGTATTACTTATCACTTGTCCTCTTTGTTTATTTCTCTGCAGATTATGTGAATCGCACGAATGTCGCGTTCATTGACGATCGTAAGATTGCGACCTCCTTAATTAAAAAGCGTAAAATCATAGTAATATAAACTTTCAGTTGAAAAGAAATTATTTAGTAAGTAATGAATCTTAATTAATAAGTTAAATAGTTAATAGTTAAAAAGTTAATAGTACTTGGAAAAGTGACACTACAAACAAATTCTATTTTGCACTTCTAAAGTAAAAATTTTTTAAAATAAATTCAAAACAGAGAAATTTTTTCTATATCTTTGTACTTTATTTACATATTTAATTGTTTAAATAAAATAAGGATATTGGTCAATTTTTTAACGTTTAAAAAAAGAAAAATTTGTAATTATTTAAATTGTAAAGTACAGTTACTAAATAGTTAATAATTATTATAAAAAAAGGGTGGTTACTAAATAATTATTTGTTTACATAAGAAAACGTATACTTCCTAAACATTTAATTTATTAAATGAAGAAAAACATAATTACTAAATAATTTCTCTCTTCCTACATTCTTTTCTCCAATCAATTTGAATAAATTAAATTCACAAAAAGCTAATATCAATATTATTTACATGTTTATTCGCTGTCTACTATTTCATTTTCTTAATTAATTGTTAATAATGGTGGTCTACGACTTACGTTCGACAAAACGCGATTCTGTAATCCATTCGGCCGACATTTATTAAGTGCATAAATAATCGACATTTCAATACCATCTAAATTCAACTCCATGCTTTTTTCACGAGCAACTTAATCCTCTTATTATATCGTTAAATACAATAAAAATTCTTTCAAACAGCCAAGAACATGAATATTCAAAACCATAAATAAAGTCAGCGAATCGAATAAAGTACAAAGAGAATAAAATCATATAAATTGAAAAGCATTGTCGAGTCACGAGAACTTAAATACAATAAGAGGGTTAAAAATACATTTCTGGATGAAATGATATAAAATTAAATAAGAATTATTGCACAAAAAATGCTTTTGAGTTGTCTCCATGTAATTTTAATGGAAGGGAAATATCATAAATAAAATTAAAAAGTAAGAAAAATTCTTATCAAAGGTACACATTTGTTTAATAAGTACACGAAAATGTGTAAAAAATTGTCAAATTATTTAAATATGAATATTTACATATTTTTAAATATTTATTTTCGTGGGGGATAAATCACCCTTAAGCGATTTATTCTTTTTATGTTCTGAATTCCTAAATTTCCATATTTCAAATTTTAAATTTCTAAATTCCAAATTTTCAAATTCTAAATTTCTAAATTCTTAACTTTCTAAATTCCAAATTTTCAAATTCTAAATTTCTGAATTCCAAATTTTCAAATTCCTAAATTTCTATATTTCAAATTTTCAAATTCTAATTTTCTGAATTCCTAACTTTCTAAATTCCAAATTTCCAAATTCTAAATTTCTTAATTCCAAATTTTCAAATTCTAAATTTCTGAATTCCAAATTTTCAAATTCCTAAATTTCCATATTTCAAATTTTCAAATTCTAATTTTCTGAATTCCTAACTTTCTAAATTCCAAATTTCTGAATTCCAAATTTTCAAATTCATTTTATATTAAAATTGTTAATAATATGATGAACAATAAAATTTATACATATTTTCATAATTTTTTACGTAGTTTCATGTGTCTGCCAGCAAAATACTTTAACATTACAGCCTCTCGTTATATTGCCGCTATATACATTGTCAGTTAAACAAATTTAACGCACATAAACTTTCATGAATACATATTTCATATATTCCTGCCAATTTCTCCAACTTTTCGTCCCTACCCCTTTACGGCAATATATCACAAGTCTACCGTATTTTGATAAAAAATGCACCCTTTACACCGTTTACAGTCTGAATTAATAAACTCCTCAGTTACATGGCAAACCGTGAAAGAGCTCTTTAGACAAATTTTCTTTGATATATGAAAAGAAATATCGTTTTTTTTTTAATTCCATTTAACATATTTCAATTTCATTAAAATTGAAAGAGGAGACCTTGAAAGATTATCTTTGTATGCGTGTATCATAATGTTGGATAAATAACGATCAATACGCTACATGGAATTAAACGTTACGGGTCTACTGCGTATATTTCGACCGAATGGATTAATATACAGGGTGTCTGTGTTAAGTTGAAACAGCCCCGATATTTATTAAACGTTGCGAACATAATAATTGTTTACACGAATGTTATATGGTACGAAGAGTCAAATATATTGAGAGAATTGAATCTTTTTCACATTATTGTTATTATAAGAGATGCAGAATTAGTAGCTAGATTAGGTTAAGTTAGGACGAAAAATAGAAAGAATAGTCGAATATTAAATGCTCATAATTTGAAATTTTCGCATTTTTAAATCCTTGAATTTACAGATTTTCACATTTTCAAAAGACTTAATTTCAAATTCAGAAAACAATTTTTAACTTTACAAACGTTCAAATTTTCAAATTCCTAGTTTTCAAATTTCCAAATTCCTAAATTTCTAAAATATATAATTTCTAAGTTTACAAATGTTCAAATTTCCAAATTCTCAAACTTGAATTTCTCGAACTCCTAAGTTTCTTTGTTCCAAATTTCTAAATCCCTAAATTGTCGAATTTCTAAATTTTCAAAAAGTCAATTTCCATATCCTCAGATTTCTAAATTCCCAAATTCTGAAACTGTTGAATTTCTCGAACTCCTAAGTTTCTATGTTCCAAATGTCTAAATCCCTAAATTGTAAGTTTCTAAATTTCCAAAAGTCAATTTCCATATCCTCAGACTTCTAAATTCTCAAATTACCAAACTTCTAAATCGTGAAATTCCTAAATGACATTCGCAAACTTCCAAATTTCTAAATTAAAAAATCTTCAAATTATCAGTTTCGTAAACCTCCAAATTTTCAAACTACCAATTTCAAATTTCTAAACCCTCACATTCTCAATTTTCCAAACTACCAAATTTACCTTCAACTCTCAAACTTTCAAGTTTCAAAATCTTTCATTTCTCACTTTCTTAAATTCCCAAATTTTGAAATTATGTACTTTTCCAAATTCAACTACAAAATAAGTATTAAAATCCCCTTTTTAATGTTTATTTTCAAGCTTCCAAATTTTCGTACCAGTCGAAGATATAGAATTAAACTAAGATTAACCCTATTGTTTAAATGATTATCCCTATTGAATAAATGATATATTTAGCTCTATGTGCCAAATAACATACATAAACAATGTTACTTCTTTTTTCTTAAAAAAATAACAGGACTGTGATAACTTAGCATGGACAGCCCTGTCCGTACCGAATTATGAAGAAGTAATGAAATTCCATTGCAGAACGTGGCGTGGATAGGCAAAGCGACGATAGTTCCCGAAGAGCGGACAGCGATTCGCATCCAGAAAACTGGACAGATCACGAGGCGAATGATCCACCGAATTATGTTCCGGGTTCCCCGCCAAAATCGGAGCAGCACAATAAAAGTGAGAGCTCCGACAGGAGGAGCAGACTTTTTACTCGCGATAGAGGTGCACCGGGTATCAATAAGTCGAAAAAACACAACCTCAGCGTGGATTTAAAACCGCCTGCCGATTTGAACAGCTCTGAGGTACAATTTTCCTATCTATTTTTTTTAAATAATGTTATTTATAAATCTCTTTGTTAAATTCAATCCATTCATATTTGTATAAACTGTTTGGATTAATTATACATGAAATTCATAGATTTTGGTAAATTATTATTCCAATTTTAAATTTCTGAATTTCTGAATTTTAAATTTCTAAACTTCTAAATTCCAAATTTTCAAATTCTAAATTTCAAATTTTCGAACTCAAAATTTCCAAATTTTCAAATTTCCAATTTCCCAATTTCCCAATTTCCCAATTTCCAAAATTCCAAATTTCCAAATTAGCAATTTCCAGATTTCCAAAATTCCAAATTTCCAAATTTCCAAATTCCCAATTTCCAAAATTGCAAAATTCCAAAACTCCGAAACTCCAAATTTCCAAATTAGCAATTTCCAGATTTCCAAAATTCCAAAATTCCAAAATTCCAAAATTCTAAAATTCCAAATTTCCAATTTCCAAACTTGCAAAATTCCAAAATTCCAAAATTTCAGAAATCCAAAATTCCAAAACTCCAAATTTCTAGATTTCCAAAATTCCAAAATTCTAAAATTCTAAAATTCCAAATTTCCAAATTTCCAATTTCCAAACTTGCAAAATTCCAAAATTCCAAAATTTCAGAAATCCAAAACTCCAAATTTCCAGATTTCCAAAATTCCAAAATTCCAAAATTCCAAAATTCTAAAATTCCAAATTTCCAATTTCCAAACTTGCAAAATTCCAAAATTCCAAAATTTCAGAAATCCAAAATTCCAAAACTCCAAATTTCCAAATTAGCAATTTCCAGATTTCCAAAATTCCAAAATTCCAAAATTCCAAATTTCCAATTTCCAAAATTGCAAAATTCCAGAAATCCAAAATTCCAAAACTCCAAATTTCCAAATTAGCAATTTCCGGATTTCCAAAATTCCAAATTTCCAAAATTCTAAAAATCCAAAATTCCATATTTCCAAATTCCAAATCCCTAAATTTCTATATTCCGAATTTTTTAATTTTAAATTTCTAAATTCCAAATTTTCAAATTCTATATTTTTGAATTTCTAAGAAACCATTCACGAATTCTCAAATTGCTAAACTTTCGAATTATTAAATGTCCAAATTTTTTATTTGTAAAATCCCAAAATTGTCAAGTTCTCAATTCCCTAAACTGACTGTCTTCATTCCCAAATTCCTAATTTCCTGTATCTTCAATCTTCCAAATCTTCAAAACCCTTTTTAGATTGTTAAATCTCAGATTAAAAATAACCTTATAAATTATCTTTTTCTCCTGAAAATAATATTCACAACGACATCATAAAAAACAAATAAAAATATACTTACAATTATTTCCTACTTTCAAAGTTGTATCTAAAAGAATGATAAGTATCACCTTTGCACGTCAAGGGGTTAATATGTACCCGTACTGTTGCAGCCAAGGAAGGCGTTAGTCGAGCAATTAAGCCGAGTTTTACCGGATGACAGTTTGCCAGATTCGGTGTCGTTGGTCTCGTTAGCTGACCCCGGTGGAGCCGTGCTTGCCACGAGACTTCAAGAAAGAAACCACAGGGTTCTGACAACCGCTTCTCCAGCGGACATTCGTGCCACGTTCACGTGCTTGGTCACGCGAATACAAAAATTGTGAGTATCGCGTGTACACAGTATTATATCATTGTAATCGATTTACGTGAACCTTTGAAATTATTAATCATGGATCAAACTGAAGCTAAGTGACTTCTGTGCTCACTTGTAATAAATATAAAACTTCTGGTTGCTTTTATGAAACGGTGATTCGGTTGATTAGGGTATCTTGCGTGATTTCTTTGATAAAATTTAAAGTAAACAATATTATTGTTGTGAGGGAAAATATGATCTTTCTTTCAAGGTTTAGATTATTTAATTTTTAAAGACTTTTTCTTCAAGCATTTTGTGTTTTAGATTTTTAGAGTTTAGGAGCTTTTTATGTGCTGAATTTTTAGATTTATACAGCACAAAATTTGTGTATTTTTAAGTTTTGAAATCTCTAAATTTATAAAATATATATTTATAGTTTTAAATTTCGCAATTCCTGATTTTGAAATTTCGGAATTTGTTTACAACGCATGAATTTTTCAGTTACAAAATTTTAACTTCTTCGATTACCAAATTTGTAAGAACCAAAAATTGCTATGCTTTCAAATTTTCATATTTCTAAATTTCTGAATTACGGATTTTTCAAATCAGATTGCTCAATTTAAGAAACTTGAGGTTATCGAATTTTCATATTTTCTAATTTTCTCATTTGGTCTCAATGTTCAAGTATACAAATTTTTACTAATCTTACAAACTATATATACAATGTATAATGCATTATGAGTGTTAAAATTGCCAAATCTCTTCATCATCAAATTTCCAACTTCCTATTACTCTCACATGCTATGCATAATACATCGTAGCAAGCATTAACATTTCCAATTTTCGTATTCATCAAATTTCTAACTTCCCAAACTATGCATAATATACCTTCCACATTAAAATTTACAAATTTATTATCAAATTCTCAGCCTCCTACTTCCACAACTTATATACAATGTTAAAACCCCTACTCTTTTCTCCAGCAAAGATATTCATCAATATTTCCAAAAGGAATTACCTGTCTAATAAAAAGAAAAAGATGAACTAATTCCGCTTAATAAAAGCAAGAAATTCTCTATTTGCAGTTGTAACAGTTCCGCAAAACCTCCAGCGCCCATTAAGGTGGTGATCGCTGGCGGTGACAGTTTCATAAACGCTGTGCTGCGTCATTACGTGGAGCTCCTCAGCTTCCGACCACCTGATTGGCAGAATTATCTGAGGTTTCTGGTCGTGCCTCTCGGTTCCAATACACTGTCTAAGTATCTGAGTTCGGTAGACGCGAAATACTCGATGCTGTTCGGCGACGAGTGGAAAGAATTGCTTGAAAGGGAAGGTGGTGGTGCCAGCGAGGGTGCGGCGAGGGTGTCGGAATATTTAGCAGTGGCTGGTACAACCTTACTGCTACCAATTGCCGAAGCCATGGTCACGTACAGGTACGACTTTTAAAAGGTTGGACAAATTTCCGGCTATTAAAGTGTCATAAAACTGATGGTACAATTGAAAAGCAGTGTCATGTAACCGGTGGTACGAAACATTCAGAATCTACGAAATATTCGAATGAAAATATGTATTGTTACAATATGTATATGTATATGTATATGTATTGTTACAAATTAATTTGCAGGGAAACAGACGACAGCAGTCAAATATTCATCCCGTTCATAAACGACGTTCGGGTAGGATGTCCAGACAGCAGTTCCTCGGCATCGGTCGATCTCGAGGAAAGTAACGTTACCATGTCCGGTTCCCCACCCTCGTTACCACCCCCAGGGTTACCTGTACCACCTCCTGGAAGATTAACACCACCCAGCAGCCCCAATGTTGGTCAACCTTCGAGAGAAGGCTGGGAACCGGTCGAGTTGCAACTCGATTATTGGAGCAAACAAACGCAAGGTGAAAAAGGAAAGAACACTTTGAGGCAAGCGTTCAGGGCCTTGCATGTTCAGAGACTTCCACCCTTGGGAGAAACCCCTGGTCATCATCTGTCCATGAATTACACCACGAAGGAGAAGAAACAGAAAAGTACGTGCTGATATAAGGGATATATAATCTTCAATTCTATCAGCGTTGTAGATTTATGTGTAAATTGTGGAAGGTTTTAAGCATATATTGGTTTTGAATGATATATGAAATGTGGAAGGATGTCAGATGTAATAAAATGGCATTTGGTATAGTGGACTCTTCTTATATCGCTACAGGTAGGGTGTAAGTGCGGGGAATTCTTGGACTGGCAATATAGAAAGAGTTTCTTCTATTTACCTGTTGAAATTTTATGTGTAGGCTCTCAGTTGTATATATATGATACATAACATATTGTGCTTAATCATACTTTAGTAATCTAATACTTGGCTATATAATGCGATGTTACAAAATGCGTTGTTATACAAGACGGTACATAACATACAACGTGTGATCATATAATATTTGGCTTATTACTAATAAGCTATCTAAACGATGATATTTAACCTGACAAACTAATAAATAGCAATTTAATGCAATATACAACGTATAACACTTTAAATTTGAAAGTTTGTAAATATACAAATTTTAAAACATTTAAATCCTTTAACCTGAAAATTTGAAAGTCTAAATCTTAAAATTTTGTATATCTCCAAATGCGCTTTAATGACAGAACATTACTGCATATGTGAAAGTATATGTGAAGTGAAACTCGCTCAACCGGTAATATAAACGATGGCGATATAACGAGTTTACTTTCTACGTACGTGAAAATTGAAAGTATAGATCCTTATCTCATATCTAGGTTCATTTACTTAAAGTAGTTAATTTCTCACTGTTATGAGTTCGGATTAACGCTGAAAGGATTGACAGGAGAAAATTGTGTAAAATTGTGAAATTAATGTTTATAATGTTATTTTTGTTTACAGTAATGAGACTGGGTAAAAAGAAAGAGAAAGAAAAGGAAAACGAGCCAAAGAGTCAAACGGTCGAAGGCGTGACGCGACTTATATGTTCTGCGAAAACTCACAACATTCCATTAAGAGGTAAATACTCAATAATTAAATCACGTCTTGTAGTCTTTCGCTGTAATTAATAAATGAAGAAGTATGTAATTCATGTCGTTTGAGACAAGAGTTTCTTATATTTGCAAAGTTTCATATTTAAAAATTCTAAAATTCAGTAATTTTCCAATATTTTAATATCTAACCATTTTTAATTTCAATTTTCTAACTTACATTTGCAAATTTGTATATTTAAAAATTTTAAGAACTATGAATCATCACGTAATTGCACAGTAAATATTATCTAGTTAATTATCTATAGAAGACTTTAGCTGATTAATTACAGAAAAGAATAATTCATTTAAGTATGTACATATTTTTATACTTAATTGTATTATTCTCTTCTGTAATTAATCTGTTAAAGCATGCTATACATAATTAACTCGATAATATTTAGATCTTTACTATGAAAGTAGGTGATGATTTCTAGTTCTTAACAATTGAAAGACATAGAAATTGAAAAATTTGTAAGTTTAAGTTGGAAAATTAGAAATATCAAAATAAATAAAATTTCAACGTTTAGATATTAAAAAATTACAGAATTTGAGAATTTTTAAATATGAAATTTTACAAATGTAGAAAATTTAACAATATGCAATCAACAACTTAGATTTTGGTTCCCCTAAAAATATACAAAGTTAGGAGTAAATTAATGTTTCTAAGATTTCCTTGTCATTATAATATAAAATTAAAGCAACATCATAATTCTTTATTCCACTCAAAGTCAGAACGAAAACTTCTGAAGATAATTAACCTAATTAGACGAAAGGCAATTAATCTGAAACTCACACAAATAATTTGCTTCTTTTCTGTTTCAGTGAGCATCGACGGTACCGAGTGGTACGGTGTGAAATTCTTCCAACTATCAGCGCAATGGCAAACGCACATCAAGACATTTCCAATAGCTTTGTTGGAGTACAGTTCTCAGCAACAAGTTCCCAATCCTACGTAAACTTCCTTTTTCTGTACATGAGAGAGGCTAGATATTTTGCCGATTTCGTTTGTGTTCATGGATATTGCCAATTAGGATCATCAGCTTAGCTTACGCGCAGATCCGATAACCATCAAATCCTCGAAACCAAAAACAGCAAAAAAGAGAAAAAAAATACATAAGAAAACGCAATAGAGAACGAGTTTGAACAGTGATATCTGCTGCTTTAAACTGGATATCGTTGAAGCTGATTCAGGCAAGTACATTAAGTGCTGCTTTCTTTTTCAGTTTGGTTCCTCCTCTTCCCTTTTATTGTTTTTTCCTTCTGTTGCCTATTGTAGTATGTAATTAACGGTTTCAACAATATTGTACATGTATCTTCGCGTAAAAGAAATTGTCAAGAGCACGTGAATAACCGGAGTGTAACAGTGGAAGTGGGTAACACATATCGTATTACAATTAACATAGATAATGATGATAATGATGATGGATTTCGTTGGTTGTGGAAATGCCGTATTGTTTGAAGCAAAATATTGAACTAAATGTCTCATATCGTTTCGAAGATACTCCCTAACTTTCAAATGTAGAATTTCTAATTTTCTTTTAATTACGTTCCAGTGAGGTTAGTTTTTTTAGCATCACTATAAATTAGAAAGGATTTTTTATTTGTTGTGTCAGTGATGAATTAATTCTTTGACTACGGCGTGAGTTCTAAAGAATTTAAAAAATCAGTTTGTCAAGAAAAAATTTTAATAAACGAGAGTATATTAACGCTGTGGAGTGAAAGAATTAATAATCAAGAGAAGAAAGAATATTTACACTTGAAGGTTATGAATTATGCTATCGTCTAGAAGTATTTGATGGATGATGTGACCTGCAATTAGGATTTTTGTCTACGGTGGATATGGTATCTTTATATACTTACAAAGTATCTTTGTATACGTACAAAAGTTAGCACCATAAGTATTATTAAGGAGTAATACAGGGAATTGCAAAGCATTGTAATTTTTATAAACTATGATATTGGAAACAGTGGATGCTTGAATTTGAGATATTTTCATAGACTGAAGTCACCAAATTTCTACATTTTTAAATTTCTAATTGACTAAATTCCTAAATTAACAAATAACCCAGTTACCAAATTACTAAATTTCCAAATTTTATATTAGCCAGGCAATAATTTAAAGAATAACTTCTAAATTCCAAAATTGCTGAATTTGAAAATTTCCAAACTTCTGAATTTGTCAAGTTTTCAAAACTCTCAATTAATAAATTTTGAAATTTCTAGATATACAAAATTGTCAATTTTCCAACTGTTGAAATTGTAACACATATTTATAAATTTCTAATACTCCTTATTTCCAAATTCTTAAATTTTGGAGTCCCCAAATTTCTATATCACTAAAAACCCTAAATTACCAAAATCCAAACAATCAAATTTTGAAAAATCCCCGTTCCAAAAATTCTGTAACTAAGCTTGCAAAATTACCAAAACTTCCCAAATCAAAAAGGAATGCATAAAAGAGGCAAATACTTTGAGACGATAGCGCATATTCGAAACGATAATAAAAGACAGTAAAAGTCTGAAAACAATCACGTCTGATATCGATTTTATAAAAACGAGTAAAACAGAGCTGTTCAAATCGGATGCTCCTCTTTATCCCCGAGCCCACCCTTCGATGTAAATATAGGATTTTTTAAAAGGACAACAAGCATAGAGAAGCATCGGTTTTATCGCGGGAACTGATACTGCTAAGATAGATTTTTGTCTAAATCGCACGTCTAAGCGTTAAATTATGTATTTATTTAAATAATGTATTCTATACGATCGCGTGTGGAGCATCATATAGACGTTATCGAAGAAAAAAGTCTGTGATACAGGCAAACATTTCTCTTAGCGCACAAACCGTTGTTTAGAGAAACATGTGACTGTGTAGTTTGCAACAATCGAGCGACAAACAGCTTCGCGTCTCCTCTAGAAAAGGGAAGAAAAATGAAGAAAAGGAAAAAAAGATGACGACGACGACGACGATGAATAGAGCTCATTAGTTGTTATACTCCTTTTCTCGTTTAAGATTTTGAGGTGCAGATGGTGGACAAAGTAGTGGAAACACTTTTTAGTAATACATATTTTAAATGAGAATATTGTTATAAAAATTTATTGTGCGGGCAGTGAGAAATGGAGTAGGTTTTTAGGGGAAATGGCAGCAGGGGAAACTTATCTAATTTTCAAATTTCCAAATTTTCAATTTACCAGTTATTCCAAATTCTAAATTTTTAAATTCTCAAATTTCCAAATTTCTAAATTTCCAGATTTCTTCATTTCTAAATTTTCAAATTTCCAAATACCTTAATTTCCCAATTTATTATTTTCTAAATTCTCAAATTTCCAACTTCCTAAATTTCTAAATTCTCAAATTTCAAAATTCCTACATTCCCAGATCTTTAATTTCTCAATCTCTGAATTTCCAAATATTCATTTTCCCAAGTTTTCAATTTTTCAAATTTGTATATTTTTCTAATATATAATTTAAATTCTCAAACTTATATATTGTCAGATCCCCAAATTCTTGAATTTGCAAATTTACAAATTTCTCATGTTTCAAATTTTCAAATCCCAAAGTTCTCAAACTAATAAAATTCTAAATACAAAATTTTATTAATTCAAGAGTTGACTTATTAAAAATCATTATGTAATGGAATATCAGCCCCCATGCCGCCATTTTCCCTAGCCCACACTCGCAATACACATAATACAACAACAAAAATGTGAAACTTAGTTCATTTTTAACTAATACATGTTTATTACATATTTGATCATGGAAATTATAAACGTTCTCAAATAAAATTCTACGAATCTTTTCTCAGATATAAAACAAGAACGTACAGTCACAAAAATCAACAGAACATTAATTTCCTTACCTACTCGCCACTTATTAATGCAATATCGATACTTTGGTATCGAGTAATTTTAATTCTTTTCCTCTGTTCAATCGATAAAATTAATTTTAACATTGTCATTATTCAGTACAGTATTGATGAGAGTTATTATAAGACTTTGATAACCCAAAAATTGGAAATAACGTCCATAAATTAATTCGATTAGAAATTAAATCGATCAGACTGATTTATGGAGAAACATAGTGTGTCCAATTATTTTGTCCATCTTCTGTACTTTTTTTTGTATTCCATTTTATATAGACTTTTAGCCCCAGGCTGCTGCTAGTTTAAATACTCTATTTTCGTATTTTATTATTTAATAATTTTATTCCTCTTAGACACGACCTTCTTCCCTGACTTCGATCCAGAAGTGATATATACTCATTCGCAATTATTATTTAGAGGTACAGTTAAACATAGACGATATTTACGCGTTTTCGATATGAAGTCTATTATATAGTATCGATAGCTGATATGATTAGTTTTGCATCCACGGAAGATATATCTCGCGGATTTTCGAATTTGTAATTTATTAAGTAATTTATGAGAATTAAAATTAAATTGGAATTAAATTTTGAGATTTAACAACTTGTGATTTTTGAAATTTAAGAAATGTAATATTTCTAAATTTTTTTCTGGATTTGTAAATTCAAAAATTTGTAAATTATTAAGTTACAAAGTTTGAGTTCCTGATTTTGAGAAATTATGGAATTGGATTTTTGTAAATTATTAAATTTGAAAATTATCAATTTTCCATATTTGGAAATTAAATTTCTAAATTTGAAAATGACTAGATCTCTAAATTCAAAAATTACTAAATTTCGAAATTTCAGTGTGTGTTTTTCAAATTTGTAAGTTTGTCAATTTCAAAATTTGAAAAGTGTGAAATTTCTTCATTTTTAACAACTAGTTAATAAATCTAGAAATTTACAAATCACTAAGTTCCTAGATTCGAATATTTGTTACTATGTAATTTCTAAATTAAAAAATTGTAGAATTTATAGTTATGAAAGTTAAAAATTTTCCAAATTTCTGAGAAGAATTTATGGGTTTAGAAATCTGTAAATTTGAAGGGTTGAAAATTATTAAATTTATAAATTTGAAAACTAAATTCCAAAATTTCGAAATTTTCAAATTTACGAGCTTGTGATTTTTTAAATTTATGATATTGTGAATTTCAAAATTCACCAAATTGTTAAATTTCAGTATTTGTACTGGCATAATTTTTAATATAAAAAATGTTCGAATCCATGATTTTCAAAATTTAAAATTTTCATAATTCCTATTTTTCTAGAAAGAATTATGCCTTTGGAAATGTGCCAATTTTAAAATTTCTAAATTTGAAAATTATCAAATTTTTAAATTATGAAGTTACCAAATTTCTACATCTGAAAATGTCTAAATCTTCAAATTTAAAAATTTGGTAATCTGTCATGACACTTCACTGCATAACAACAAAATCTTCAGTAAACCCTGTAAACTTTTTTTCTTTTTTCCACAAAACTAACTAAAATAAGCCCAACAATTGATGAATTAGCGAGATATGTCAGTGGACACGAAAAAGCATCAAAAAAATCGTGAAACAACATCAAAATTGAAACACTCGTTCCCATTTCTACATTTCCTATCATTATTTTTAGTAATAGTTACCTTTACGTTCTTTCTGTTGTTACAAACAATCAACGACTGTATTCTACAGTTCGATCACTTGAATTTCCCTAACGTTTAGAAGAAATCATATCACGAGAAACAATACACGATAAGAAACTAAACACTTTTACGTGGGTCTTAAAAAGAACGAATGAGAGCGTGTGCGAGAGAACATTTAGTATTTCCATCGAGGAAATAATAAGCGTAGTATCTTTTAACTTCCTCTTTTTATTTCTCTTTTATTCCTTCTTTTTTCTTTTAAATTAACAGCGAAAGAAACACAGACCACAGTGCTCTGCTGTTCTCGGCGATGTGTTAGCCGTCGCTCAGACTGCCTAATGCCAAATTGAGAGTGTGTGCGTGTGTGTGAGAGAGAAAAAGACGAACAGAAGGATTTGTCCAGACATATTCGAAGATAAGACTTCAGAACAGATATTCTGCGCGAAAAATGTTGCTGGCGATTTTTATCTATCGACAAGGAAAAATCAGATGTGAAGTCGATCACACGAACACTCACGGGTACAATGGGCAACGCAGGTTTTCTTTAGGGCTGAAAATTGGTGAAAGGGGAACATCGCTCATTTTTACAAATTAAATATGCAGTAACAAATTTTTATTTACTTAATCAACTTTTTGTGGATTTTTCGCATGAAATTGCTGAATTGGAAATTTTTGAATTGTGGAATTACTGAATTTTGTTATATTCATGAATTGTAGAGTTACTAAAATTGCACATTGTCAAGTTTTCTAGTTAAAGTTTCATGTCATGAAATTTTCAAATTCGTTTACTTTTAAATTTTGTGATTTTCAAGTTTACAAACTTCTATATTTCATATTTTTAGATTTAAACAATTTCAAATTTTCGAAGTGACACACTTTAAAATTATGAATTCGAAAATTTTTGTATTTGATATTGTATTTGATTTTTGTATTTTAATATTCGAT